CCTCAACCCCTTGCCCTCATCTTCCAGAACAATAAGGTTCCCTTTGTCCTCACTTTTCACGCAATCAGCTTCCAAATTCAAAGGATCATTTTCCATCTTTTCCATCACCTTCAGTAGGATACCATTTTCCCCTCTCTTCCTCTGTCAGTATCCCGAAGAGACTATTCCTTCTATGACAGCCTCATTCACTCCTATACCAACTGAAACAACTTATCCCCCTCCCATGGAATCTTGAGTCACAAAGAGATAAGGTGTAGCACTTGCCCTTTAACCTCTTGTGATCTCTGTGTCCAAAACACCAAACATTCATTCCAGGTGAAGCAGTGATTTACTTGTACTTCTTTATATCCAGTTTATCTTATTCACTGCTCACAACATGGTCTCCTCTGCACTGGCGAGACCAAATGCAGACTAGATGACTGTTTTGTGGAATGCCTCCACTCTGTCTGCAATAATGACTGCAACCCTTCCAGTTGCTTGCCATTTTTATACATCATCTTACTTAAATACTTGCAATTCATGTCCTATTTCTGTTGCAATGTTTCTGTGAAGCCCAACGTAGACTGGGGAAACAACACTTCTTTCTCATTGAAGCACTTTACAGTCTTTTGGATACAATATTGCATTCAACAACTTCAGAGACCATGACCTCTGTCTCAATTTTATTTTTCCATTCTACTGCACTCTAATCCTCACAGAGTCTGGTTTTCTTCATTTTTACTTCCAGCAGAACTGACCTATGTTCTGCTATTAACACCTAACCTGGACCTATCTCCCTTCCCTAAAATCATCACCACTTGTTTTGCCTTTTGGCATGAAACACGATTGGTCTCTAATCTGCCTCAATCTCTAACCTTTCCTGACCTTCCATTCTGTTCCATTTACTCCTTCCACCGTTCTTCGCAGTATAAATTCCATCACTTTTTCACCAGTCTCTTGTTAGTTTTAAAGAATAGTCATTTTGGACTAGAAATTTCAAATTGTTTCTCTCTCCATAGATGCTGCCAGCTCTGCTGAGTTTCTCCAGCAATGCCTGTTTTTATTCTAATCTAACCTTGTCTTAGCCTCTCACACATCAGTATCCATCCAATCTCCCTGTTTGAATAAAATTATCTAACTTAGCACAGAGAACAACTTTTATGAATTTGTTGGCGTATATTTTACCAAGCCTTCACAAAGTTATTATTTTCAATGTTGTGCAAATACAGTAAGACATGTTTAATCTTCTTAGTCTTTTGTGTTCTCCTCTGCTTAAGTGCAGCTTAGTTGTGGAAGCACAACTACATCAAAGAGTAAATTCACTGTTGCGTGTTTATTTAACCGTGTTTTTTGTGGTCAATGATGGGGACAGCAATAAAACTTTAAATTAGACCCACAATGCCACAATATTAAAATATTGGAATAAGCAGTTACAAGCGTTTATTGCTCGAGTTGCCTAAGGGGACATTTTGTTGTTAATTTGATTGATTCTAATTGGCACCAAAAAGAGAAGGAACAGGTGCTGAAGATTGGCTGTGTTCACTGACCAAATTTGTTAACTGTTTCTGGCACTTACTGTTTGGACTCCAATTGGAGACTTGTTACTCAAATGCTCGGGTCAACTTGACCCAGTCCTCACTCACTCTGTCACCTTTTCCACAAATATTTTTCCCTTCATTTCAAAGAACTTAAGTGAGAAAAAAAATTCAAAGCTGCTGCTGGATTAGAATTTGAATTGACAAGATCTGTGCTGGTTACTAAGTAGATTTGTAAATCTGTCTAGCACTTCTCATAACCACTACCGCAAACGTAAAATAAAAATGGACAAATTCAAGTTTGATCTGATAAATGATAAGTAACATAAATGCCACATAAGTGCCAGGCAATTGCAATCTACAACCACAGAGAATCTAACTATCTCTCCTTGATGTTCAATGGCATTACCATCACTGAATCCACTATTCTCAACAATCTTACTATTGACCAAAAACTGAACTAGACTGGCCATATCAATTCTTGGCCTTCAAAATCGGGTCAGATGCTAGATCCCTGTCACCCCAATGCCTATCATCCATCTATAATTAACAAGTCTGATGTGTGATGGAATAATCTGATGTAAGATGAATCCTCACAACTGTTCATCATGTTGTAAGAGCTATCTATGCTATCATCCTAGCAGGGGCCCACAGGGCCTTGTTGCTTTAATGTGGTAGAGGAAAACTGCTTGGTGGTCTGAGAAGCTGTTGTTTTAAACAAAATATCGTTTATTCCACAAGCAACTATGTACAAATTACATTAATCTGACAGACATCATTATAGAGATTATGAGAAAGACCCAGACGTTAGGTCTTACTCCTTTGAGATCCTAAGCGCTTCTCCCACCAAATGTGTCTGTGTCATAATAGCAGCAGATGCTTAAGGAACTCCTCAGTATTAACCCTTTGAGACCCTTATGCCCATAAAGAATATCTCCCCTAAGCTGTTTTTCTCAATACTAATATTATGCATTTCTTAGACCTTTAACACAACTCCCTCTAGCCCACAAGTTTCTGACTTCAGAATCTGAGCAGTCTAGGTGTTTCACTATTCTCCTGGAAGTTGCTCTGTTCACACTTGGAAACTTGTAGGTCTATGTAGAAGACCATTGACTTTGATTGTGTTCCTAACAGTGTGTGGCCTGATAAGTCCCTTTAGACTGGAGGATGTTTATTGTCTTGGATTCCCCTCACAGAGGACTGCTGTCCTGTTGAAATTGACAGTTTCTTTTTTGCTGTATCCTGAGTCTCAAATGAGGTGACTTCTCTTTCACTGTGTCCTATGGATATTGGTCAACCCATCTCAATGGTGACTTCCACAGAACTGTATGAACAACATCTTCAACTTCCATGGAGGAAGCCAGGCAATGGGATGCTTGAGGTGGCAGTGTCCTGACCATGTTGCTGCAATTCCACAGCCTCTGTTTTAGGCACAGTGCCCATGACAATGCTTTCTGCTGCTGCTCCTGTGTTTGCTTGTGCATTTGTTGGAAGCCACTAATTGCTAGTGCCATGGGATCTTCTCCTGCCTAGGGCAGAACAGATGTCTTGCTTTCAGCAGTCTTCCAAGTGGCTGAGATGAGGAGAAATTTCTTCACTTACAGAGTGGTGAATCTTCGGAATTCTCTATGCTGGAGGGCCATTGAAGGTCAGTCATTAAATGTTAGTTTTAAATTTAGAGACTGACAGATTGCTAGCTTCTAATGACATCGAGTGATGTGAAGATGGATTTCTATGACTCTATGCTGCATCTCCATGCCTTAGATGGCCAAAATAATCATGCTGTATAAATTGGTATCCCTTTTCTCAAGTCTGTTTCTTATATCCTAGTCTTGATAAGTGTAAGACAAAAAGCTTCAACTTCTTTAAGCAATGTTTAAGAAACAGAGTTAAAAGGCAGAATCATATAGTGGCCTGAGCGAAGTGGACCATGCTGAAGTTTGTCAGCAAGGCTGCCCTCAACATTGGAACCAACTTGTTGCATCTTCTATGCTTTACACAAGTGGCTTGGTAAGTTTATCACTCAGTGAGTGACGACTTGCCTCTTAAGGGGAATTATTAGTTGTTAAATGCCTCATTGACAGCACAACTTGCCTCACTATTATTCAGCTTCCTATAATACCAAACTTGCTAAATAAGCTAAACATTGAGAAAACTCAACGTTGAATTCAACTTGCCACTTGCTTCGAAGTATCTTGATATTGGATACCGAGCATCAACATCTCAGAGCACATTCTGTGGGAATTGGTCACATGCACCCCTCATCCACAGACATTGGCTTCTGATGTGTGCCAACCTCTAAGAACCATCATGGCACACGTCCAATCCATGTATAAAATACTTCTGTACTTCAATGCTGCACCTTGGGCTGCACTGGCAACTGTCTTTGTAATGTTGCAACAAGGACACAGTGCACTCAAGGACACACATTCAGCGCATGGATTGAACCAGGTATTATCTCCAGCCTCTGCAGATGGTGTCATAGCACACACACATTTGATCCTACCTAGACGCTTGCAACATCCCTGCCTTTCATTGCCTTGTCTTGCCATCTTGCCTTGCCTTTTCCACTTTCTCCCCTCAGCCAGAGATACAAGGTTCATACTATTTCTATCTTGCTAAATGTCTTATATGAATATGTTTGCCTTCCCATATAGCACATTTTCAAATGTGGAACTTTTACTCAAAAATGTTTTTGAAATCAATTTTCTCAGCTTATAAATACCTGAAATACTAAGGCACACTTTCCTTGTGTATCAATGAAAGGAAAGGTTTGTAGTTTTTTTCATGGGTCTTTTAGAAATGTCCAAAAATGCTTCATGTATAATTATTTTGAAATAAAATGGGGTAATGTATAGAAAAGTAGCTATCACTCACAATACTGTTAACTTATTGCAAATAACATGTGGATCCACACTTGGGGAAATTTCCTGACCACACCATAACGATAACTCTCTGCTCTGCTTTGAGTAGTATCACAAGGTCCTCAATTTCTGTCTATTGCATTCAGGGGGCAGCAAGTCTATTAAAGCAGTCTGCACTCAGTATTATGCTGGAGTATCCACTTTGATCATATGCTGAAGTTTTGCAATAGGCTGTAAGTCACAACTTTCTGAGACAAGAAAGCTACTGATTGAACCAAAGTAATTTATTCTGACGATAAGACCTCCTGATGGAAATTCATAAACATTTTTGATATTGTTGTAAAAAGAGAGCCTACTGAGTTTCAAGATGGTCGATCAAAGTTCAGTAATACCAGGTGCTAGTAAAAGTTTGAATATGGTACTAAAAAGGGAACACATGTTTGTTAATCTTTGATTACATTGTTCCAACTGGTCTCTTTGATTTCTCTCATAGTATTTGCAAAGTCTTTGATAATTAGATTAGAATCATGAGCAGCTGAAAGCTACAGATTGAACCCCGCCCTGTTTAGGCATTGATTTTAATTAAATTTACAGTTTATAGAGAATGCTGATGAGATGATACCTTGCAGTAGATGAGGATGGAGAGGCTGGTGAGCTGTGAGGACAGCTGTCATCTCATCGTGATCAGAAGGATGAATATATTCATAAATGCTGTTTCCTGTTAGCTCCACCTGGTAATGAAAGCATTTCAGAACTTATTAAACACACATAACAATATGTTGCAATGTAATGCCCCATCACTCTACCTATTTTAATTATAAAATAAAAATGGAAACCAGATGAATAAGCAGGTAAAATGGCCCAGGCCATTTACACATCCTGGAGTCAGTCTCATTATTGCATGCTCGTTTGCGTGGTGGCAGGACATCTGTCCAAAGTTGACAGATTCCCAGTTTAACATCTGCCTCTTTGGGACTGACTCTAATTTCTATGAGAACAATACACAAGCAAAGTCCAGCGAATGCTGGAAATCTGAAATAAAAACGAAAGATGCTGGAAAACCTCAGCAGGTTGGGAAGCATTTTTGACAAGAACAGACATTCTGAAGAAAAATCACCCAACCTGAAGTGATTATTTTCTCTCCACAGATGCTGTCTAACCTGTTGACTTCTTCCAGCATTTGCTGTTTGTTGTTTCTAATTTATCAATTGATAGCATCAGTGGGGCGCAGACTGAGTTTCTTGCCTGGTTATTCTAGTGGGGTGAACCAGGGGGAGAAGAAGGTTAACAACTGGCCAATTTAAATATTTTTCTTCACTTCCCCTGTTGAGCTAGGAAGGTTAGGATTGCTCCTCCAGACTCCGTAGGAAAGCTCAGTCCTGCCCCGTCATATTCTTATTGTCCTTATTCCAAAGGTAGTGAAGCTGATGATGGTACACTTATTGCTACAGAAGCAGAGATCAATAAGCTCAGTGTACCCAAGGAATGGAACCCATAAACTTGCAGTCAATTTCACAAACCATATTCATTATTTGGGGAAATTAAAACAACGGTTTGATGAAGCTGGATGTATATTCTCTTTCAGAATTACATATAGTTTCACATCTAGGATGGATCAGTGCAATACTAGGCATAATTGTAATTAGTCCTTGAAAGATATTAAATAGGTAAAACTTGACAACATTAAAGGCTTGAATAGCAAATAGAGGGCATTTCATCATAAGGAATATTATAAAAATAGATGTATTAAATCTATTCCTTTTCTTTCGTAAGATTATTTCAACCAATAGACATATGGGACTGTTGACTTCAACAGTCAGTTTGGGTATTGTGACCTGCTAAAGCAGAGCAATGCATAAGGTAACATCAAAACCTCAGCCTGCATAATAGTTTCAACAATTCATAGAAACAGCACATTATATTCAGTTCAGCTAACACTATTATACATTTTAAATCATTTATGTCAGTAGTTTGTTTCCAAGTATGTTTAATGGCATGGGAGGTGATCTAATAAATGATCAAAATACACAATCATAAGAAGATTAAACAGATACACTCATTTACCAAACAATTTATCACATTCATTAATGTATGTTAAAATTATAATTAATAAAAAATATATTAAAATTTAAAATGTCATAATTTTGCAATAGACTCAAAATGTTCATCATCATCATCATCATAGAACCCCTATAGTGTGGAAGCAGGCCCTTTGGCCCAACAAGTCCACACCGACCCTCAGAGCATCCTACCCAGACCCACCCCTATAACCTATCTAATTTACACATCCCTGAATGTTCTAGGAACTATTACTAACTGTGAAACAAAGAGCTCCCCTTAGCTGATTTGTTAGCAAAACTTTCATCCATCCCCTTGCCACCTCCATTATTTCAATGTTGTCAAGGCTGATCTCCCAGCCTCCATAAATTTCAGCTTAGTCAACTGCTTATAATTGATGCAGCAGCAAATCTCATTCACTGTTCTCACTAAGCCCATTGGCTCCCAGTCTCTAGCATGTTGAATTCAAAATCCATTTCCTAATGTTTAAATGTCTGCAAGCCCTCACCCTTCCTTGCATCTGTAATTTTGATCAATCTGACCACTGTCTGAGAATTTCATGTTCATGCAATTTCGGCTGCTTGTATATCTATTATTTCCTTTGCTCCTGCGTTGGTAGTTGTGTTTGGAGAATTCTAGGCCCTAGGTTCAGGAATTAATGCACTAAATCTCTTTTCTCTCCTTCCCCTCCAACTGTGATATATTTGAGCAAGCTTTTAGTGATCTCACCTAATACTACCTTTGATTCTCTGTGAAGAAAATTTAGACTCAACAATGTGTCTCAACCACATCTCAGATGAACATCCCTGACACAGTAGTAAATTTCTATTCCCGGAAGAATCATTATATTATACTTCTGAACAAGGTTACTTAAACAATGAATGTTCTGTGCCCTTATCATGCACCACTATTAATAAAGCCTCTAAATGGGCTCACTAACTTTCTCTTGAAATGAAAGAGCATAGTTTATCAATGCCTCTGAAAACATCAAAAACAAGTGTCTTCCAGCAGACAGATAAAGTTTGCTTTGACAATCTTCATAGTGATTAATAACTCTAAAAATAGGTTTTAAATTCTAATTAATAGCAGAAAAACTAACATTTCAAAATGTCAGGTTTTAAGTTATCTAATGTAACAAATAACTAAAAAGCACTGTTAACTAGACACTACCCTTGCAGGCAACTTGTGTTTTAAATCAAAGAAGCGAGTATTCTTCTTTTATTAGTCCAACCAATAAAATATATTTTTTAACATATGTGTCCATTTAACTTTCCTAGAATCAATAAAAGTATTTTTTAGCTTCCAAGATTGTGGTCCTGTTCTTTTCTTTCCTAAACCTGGTAACTTGCAATCTTAGAAGTATATTTCACATGAGATTTTCTTTTCCTGGATACTGTCCTGCTGGCTCAAAATAAGCAACTCTTCCAGCCTCATTTTAACTCTCTATAAATTTATTCTTTTCATTCTAAATCTGCCTCATTCCAGTGTTGCAGACCATAAAGATTTTTCTGGTCTCTATTAGCTCCCTCTTCCCTGAAACCAGACAGATTTTTAAAAAAAAATCTGTCTTGCTTGGTAGTACTCTCAGAAATGTTGTAACCTGATCTCTACACTGGCTTCCACTGGATCCATGCCCTTGGTAATATGAATCACCTGGGTCCTGGAACCAGGTAGAAATTCTAGTTAGCTAATCTTGTGAGCCTAATCTTTTATCTTGGAACTAAATGGACAGTTTAACATGCAATTGTTTACAACCAGAAGTTCTCAACAGTTTTCTGGGACTTTGGAGACTGTCAACCTCCAATGGTAACAGATAGGTTTCTGCTATTGTTTCCAAGCCTAAACACTTTGCACCTTCACCCAGTAAAACAATCTAAGCCTTTGATTAATTTCTAACAATCAAAAGAACCAGGCTTACTGTCAGGCAGATTTCAGAAGAGATGACATGGTACACTTAGTCCCAAAATCATAACAATCTCATAAACAATTACAAATCAACTTCCAAATAACAATGTTACAACATTTGGCAAATTGATATTGTTTAGAGGGTGATTGGCAAACAGCTTATCTTATGCACTTACATCAGAATGGTGGATCCCCAGGTTTAGAGTTTAATCATTGTGCAAGTGTGTTGCATGAGGCTATCTGGACTGAAACTCTCTTAAGAATAAGTTCAATGGTGAACAATTTGAAATTTATGAAATTTAAGTTAATTTCTGAAATGTAAGTTATAATGTAACATCCTCTTCCAGATGAATAAATATGCAAAGTGTTAAAATTTTGAAGTGGCAGCTCTCAGTTTCTAATGTATTTACATTTCCCATTTTGCTGAGTTTGAATGAATGCCTCCTGTAAATGAATCCCCTGGGATCCCGAGATGGCTTTGCTCCCACATCCACCTATGGTGGTTTGCAAAGTCTAACAGCTTCTACTGTATGCTGACCACATAAAATTTCTGTTTGCCAGTGTTGGGAAGCCTGTAACCTGATCTTAAAAATGACTTCCCCTGCCTCTTCCCAATGGCCTCATGAAAGTTAATAGCCTTGCACCCAGGTAGCACTTAACTATTCTTGACCACAACTCCCTTTGTCAACTTCAAACTAACTGGGCTATTCATAATACAACTGTTTACACCTGTATAGGATGAGTGAAAGGGCTAAAAGTTAATGCTGATATTTGACAGCTGCATGAGAAAATAGATTGTATGTTTTGGGAAAATAGGCTGTGAAAGTTAATGGTGATATTTGAGAAGCTGTGTGACCTTGAATGAGCCCTGTGAACATTCCTGTACATGCCAAAGATGACTCTGGTAACTTGTTTTTCAGTAGCTGTTTTCTGTACTGATCAGATGCTTTGTCTTCTGTATTTGTTTTTTTCTGTGCCTTGCTGTTCGTTACACTGTATAAGAGAGAGAATTTCATTCCAAGTCATTGGACTTCACCTCAGACTGGGATCGCGACCAGTACCAGGAACAACCTCAGCCTCCAGCCCAGCTGTCAATCCAGGGGTCCTCAACGGGCAGAAGGGTGTGAAGCTTACTGTTTTTTATTCTTTTTTTTTCATTCTTTTTATTTACTTAATAAATGCTCATTTTTTTATTATTACTCAATAAATGATTGCATTAAGCAAATTGCTGTTGTCAAACCTTCTCTTAATTACATTTAACCACATCTGAAAAAAACCACTTGGATGCACTCTGTGATCCAAGAAAACACCGTAATAATTTCAGTGCCTTTTGGAGACTTTGGGACTTTCTCTGCTGTAACTACATAGGCTGTTGTCATTCTCTCCAAGTATAAGTACCTTGAACCTCATTCCCAGTGAAATAATCTAAGCTTTTCTTTAACCTCGGGCAATCAAACCAGCCAGATTTCTGTCAAGCAGCCTCACGGACAGGTCACATTACCTCCTTCATTTTACCTTTAATTTCAGCTCATAGTCCTGAAACACAGCAATTTTATAAAACTCTAAACTTGTCTATTTCAGTCCTGATTGTTCCTGTTGCTCTAGCATCTGCAGCATTTTGGTGAAAACACTTAGAAGTCTACTACCCTTAGTGTGAACAATGCTTTCTTATCTTTTTCCCTACTGAAAGGCCAGAACACTATTTTAAAGTTTGTTCTTGATTTTCATACCAGAGAAAATAGTTTCTCAGTGTCTAGACAATCACATCTTTTTAACATTTTAAACACCTAGGGCAGATAATCCTTAATCATTTATACTCAAGGGGCTATCAGGCAAGACCTTGCAAGCTACCTCACAATTTACCCACCTAAGCTCTGGTATGGTTCTGATCAATGGGCTCCGGACATCCTCCAGCCGATTATGTCCTTCTGAGATACGCTGCACCAAATGCTGAAAGCAGTTCTCCAGATGAGGCCTCATCAACGGTCTGTACACTGATTTTTTTTTGTCTTTTGACGGGTACCAGAAAGGGCAACATGCGGAACGATTTTAATGGATTTTGAGGGTGTGAAAATAATATCACGCGCTGCTATTTAAATTTGCAATGGAACAAGTCACCGAAAAGTAAACGACGAAAGATGTGTGTCCCATAACACCAGAGAGGGCCAGATAATTTGGAATAAGTGTAAGTGTGACCGCCTGGCTGGAGACGGTTAGATTTCTCCCAGACAGAGGGGCTGAGAAAGGGTTGCGCTTGGAAATAAATTAACATGTGAAAAGGAAAGGAGCACTTTGATCTTTCATTTCAAAATTTGTGGGTCAGAATAGAGATTGGACAGGTCGCGGTTTAGCACCTAGTGTACAAATTGTTTTGTTCAGCGGGTCAACCCGATTAGATTAGGAACCAACTTGTTTTCTTAACGAGCAAAAATAATGAAGCCTCGAGAACAGCGAAAGGGAAAACAAAACTATACGCACTTCTGTAACCACAGTGTACAATTAAAGGATATAATCTCGCAGGATCACTTTTGTAAAATATCAGGGAACAGTTTGAACTTCTAAACGACAGTGAGCTTATTGGTGAGTGAGCAGCACATCTGATGGAAAACTGGCCATAATTTGCACCATCAATGAGTCACAGAACTTTAGGGAAAGCGCACGGCGAGGTCCAGCTAAGTGAACGGTGTGTTCCATCGCGCTTTGCCACTCAATGAGTCCATTCATGCGGTTTCTCACCAACCCGCATAAATTCAGTTCGTGTTCTGGGACGCATGCTTTAATTGGTTAATCTTTGAGGCCATGTTCATGTCCTTTCCCTCAAAGATTGAGGGTGAAATAAAAGCCGGCAATGTATGCCAGCACTAGAAAGAGGGAGGATTGATAAAGTGAGGATTGACAAAGTTTGAGATGGAGTTTTCTTTAAAGGACAAAGCTGAAAGCGTGCACCTTATCAAAAAAAAGGGCTGCATTCTCAAATTGTGGCGACTGGAATTAACTTCCTCCTCACAGTGGCCTATACCCCAAACAAAGAGAGCAACTCACTTTTATATAGCGCTATTAAACTAGTAAACTGCCCAAGGCGCTCTGCAAGACAGTACCAAATAAAATTCGACGATTAGTATCAGAACATATAAGAACAGACGACTAAAACAGGTCTTAAAGGAGAATAGAAAGAGAGGTGGAGGTGGACCAAATTTGGAGGAATTCCAGGGAAAGAAAATTGTTGTCTTTCGAGATTTTCTGTTTTTTTTCTTTTTGTCTTTTCTTTTACACACTGTTAACAATAACAATAAAACTTTAATGAGAGACTACAGTGCCATTAACTAACTTGTAGCCATTGAACGGTGTTTAAGATGAGCCATCTTCTCACTACACTGAGGAAGGGTCACCGGACCCGAAACTTTAACTCTGTTTTTTCCTTCAAAGATGCTGCCAGACCTGCTGAGTTTTTCCAGCAACTTTGTTTTTGTTCCTGATTTACAGCATCCGCAGTTCTTTCGGTTCTTCTCTACACTAACCCTTTACCTCTTTGCCTGCTGCACTCTCCCAATCCAGATGAAGGCTGCAGCCTTTCTCCTGGGATTGTGAGGTATTCTCTTCTTAAGCGTATCACAGTCATCTGTCCTTGTAGGTTATCATGCATCTGTCTACTCTAATCCCATTTTCCAAAGCTTGCCCTAAAGCCTTGCATGTTGTGGCATTTCAAGTAATCATCTAAATACTTAAATGTTGTGATGGTTTTCGCCTTCATCACGCTTTTGGGCAGTAAGCGTCAGGTACTCATCATCCTTTGGTGAAAAAAAAGTCTTCCTGAAATCATTTCTAAACCTTAAAGCTGTACCCCCTGGTTATGGACTCCTTGACTAAGGGGAAAGGTTTATTGTCATCTATCCAATCTCAGTTTCTAATAATTTCCTCCTAACAATCACCCCAAACCCCTTCCCCCAAGCCTTTTTCTGCTGTAAGGGTAACAAACCCACCCTATCTAGTCTGTATTCATAGGCGAAGATCCAAAGATCCTTTGACAGCACCATCCAATACCCATGACCACTTCTATCTAGAAGGACATGGACAGAAAATACCTGGGATCATCACAACTACAAATTCCCCTCCAAGCCACTCACTATCCTGGCTTGAACTATATCTGTGTTCCTTCACTGTCACTGGGCAAAAATCCTGGAATTCCTTCCCTAATGGCATTGTAGATCAACCCACAGCAGGTGGTCTGTAGCAGTTTAAGAAGGCAGCTCACCACCACTTTCTCAAAGGCAACTAGGGAGGGGCAATAAATGCTGGCCAGCCAGCAACGCCCACATCCGACCAGGGAATTAAAAAACACCTCACTACAGCCCAGGCAGCTTCCTATAATGTTAAAAAAAAAACTGCGAATGCTGGAGATCTGAAATAGACAAAAACAGATATTGTTGGGGTAACTGAGCAGATCTGGCAGCATCTGTGGAGAGGAAAAAGAGTTAACTTCTCCAGTCTAGTGACCCTTCTTGATGAGTCTCCTTTATGAATTTCCTCTCCAGCATAATCGCACCATTTCAATAATGTGGCGACCAGAACTGCACACAATACTCCAGTTATGGCCTAACTAACACTAGCGTCTCAGCAAATAAAGACAAGTATCCCATATTGTCTCTTAACCATCTTATCCACCTGTCCCACTGCCTTACGCCAAGTTCCCTCTGATGTTTTAGATTCATGCAGTCATACAGCACGGAAACAGACGCTTGGGTCCAACCAGTTCATGCCGACCATAATCCCAAACTAAACTAGTCCCATCTGCCTGCGCTTGATCCATGCCAACCCCCACCCCCCCAACCTTTCTTATTCATGTACTTATCCAAAAGTCTTTTATAACAGTACCGACATCCACCACTTCCTCTGGGAGCTCATTCCAAACACGAATCACTGTGCAAAAAAGTTGCCCTTCGTGTTCTTTTTAAATCTTTCTCCTCTCATCATAAAAATAAGGCGCCTAGTCTTGAAATCCCTCACCCGAGGGAAAAGACGCCTGCCATTCACCTTACCTATACCTCTCATGATTTTAATAGCCTCTATAAGGTCATCCCTCAACCTACTACGGTCCAGTGAAAATGTTCCAGCCTGTCCAGCCTCTCCTTATAACTCAAAGCCTCCTGTACTTCCTGGGGTTCTAACATTTATCTCGTATTCCCTTGCCTCGCAAAAAGGTGCTTTAAAAGCTGACCCAAAGCGATTTTACACTTGCTGTTTCCATTTCTTTTAAATTTCTTAATAAGAACATTAATAATGTGATTGGAAGTCATGGAGTCACTAATGTCACAAAAGGAGGCCACTCGACCTATCAAGTCCATGCTGGATGTGTGTACTGTACATTTGAAAGATGTTCGGAAGATTTGACTTCTTACCTGGGACAAGCCCAAATGTACGGACGCAGTTTCCGAAATGTACATGATTTTACCGTCGGACGCGATTACAAAAACAAATCCGTCTAGAGTCTGAAAACGGAACAGAAATAAAGAGGAAAACATTCGTAAGTCTGTCTATTTTACAATAATGGGAATTGCTTCCATTAATACATCGATACACAGTTCCCTGCACTTCACGTTCAACAGGTTAAGGCATTGCCATAATTCAAAGCGTTCATTGCAGCGAAAGGGAATTGAAATTAGAGAGGAACGTACGCCGTATTGAATGAAGTTTTGAGGAGATGTAAGGGATAGTGAAAATGGTCTCCCTCCGTTACTTAGCTCCGCTTTTAATCGCATCGTTTTCTATCTAGAACCGGATTATGTGTTAAATTCCATTACCTGAAGTAAGTGGGATCCCAATTCTCTAGCCATATTGTCCAAAGGACTTACGCGACTAGACTGTCCCCAGGCGTCTCCCAGACCTGAATGAGAAACACCAAGTACATGAGCAGCTCTCAAAACCATATCAGTTATTAACTGCTGCATTAACCTGACAAGACGTTTAACGTTTGAACAAGACGGTGGCTTATCTCTAAAAATAGCGAGTAAATCTTTCTCTGTCTGAATATAACAATGTTTCAAATAGTTCCTCGACGTGTTTATATCGTTTGCTGACACACACCCCTAAAAGAACAGGTTCCGTTCCCCCGACAGTTTTCACTCACAATTGTCACTATACTGTCGGCGAGGTTGAGTTATATGTTGGTGTGGTTGCTGTGTGCTTTACCGTGTCTATCGGTAATTAAGCACATTGTTGGCAATGGCTCAGCAGAAGTACTCACCTTTCAGAAGCTTGAGAATTCAAATCTCTTTCCAGACACTTGGGCCAGAATCTAACTTAAATTGACATTTCCATGCATGCTGAATTGTCTGAGGGGAAAATCCCTGACTGGTGTGGACTTAAAAGTTCCTGTGACCGTTTGCCGATTGAGAACAGAGCAATTATTCCGTGTCTGGCCAAGTTTTTACCCTCAATCACTTTGACTGTAGACAAATTATTTGATCATTATCAAATCGGTGTTTGAGAAAGCGTGCAGTGCAAACTAGCCGACCAGTTTCTTTCATTAACAACAATTAAACTTTTAAAAAAGAATCGATTGATTTTGCGACTTTCAGAGGTCGTGAAAGGAGCTATGTAAGGGCAAGTCTTTGTTTTTATTATTGTGAGCGCAGCATATATTTGAGGTAGTGCCGTGCCTTATGTGTGGCTGTGCGCGCATGTCACATTTTTATTTAAGGTTTTAGTGCACATGCTGTGTTTGTGTGAATATGGATAGAAGCTATGCAAGACGCTGTATTTATACTTGTTAATCTGTAGATAAAGACCATACCTGTTCTGATAATGAGGCGTGCTAATGTATATTTATATGAATTTACCACTTACGTTAATGAAGGGTAATTATGCGCTTATGGGATGTACATGTTTCTATGTGGGGCAAAAATTGTAGTCACACCTGACACCAAATTCACTAATTTAGGAATAGAAACAGATCACAGTTTTTTATGACACGTTACAGCGATAGGATGGAACCCGTTTCACTTCCTCACACGCCCCTTGAATACATTTACTCCGGGACTCCTATCAGACTGTTACAAATGTAAATCCGACCCCCAGGTTGGTCAGACCCCTGGGCTGTGTGGTAGCAGAAAGAGAAAAAAATTGCACCTAAATGACCACCCCTCTTCCAAATGAGATCCCAACTGGTTTATTAGAGATGGATTGTATCAAAAACAGGATTTTTCAAACGCGCCTGACTGCGACTACGGCATCGGAATACTGGCTACTTCAGAGCAACTCAATAAAGCGAACTCTTAGGTGAAATCTTTCTCGGACACAAAGCGTTCGTCGCCCCTTAACCTCCAACATCAACTCCCCAACTCACACACCTTCACTTCAGAAACGTTAGCAGAGCTTTCTTTAACAATTTGAACAGTCCTTTTTACTCTGAAAATATACGGGTTCACACACAATCCTCCAGTGCGTATTTGTCTTATGCCAGAAGTCACACGACACCAGGTTATGGTCCATCAGGTTTATTTGAAATCTCAAGCTTTCGGAGCACTGCGTAGGTGATTTCAAATAAACCTGTTGGACTACAGCCTGGTGTCGTGTGACTTCTGACTTTGTCCACCCTAGTCCAACATCGGCATCTTCACATCATATTTGTCCTGTACTCTCGCTGTTCACTGAAGTGCTGAGGTACTACCTGTTGCAAATTGCAGACGGAAACCTGATGAAGACCAGCGCCAATTTCTGATATGGCAAGAAAAGTTGTAAGTACCGGAAGATATTATGCACTTGAATAAGTTATATGTAGACCTTTAAGTGCAATAAGTGATGTATGTCTATAAGTGGGATGTACAATCATTTACATGTTTTTATGGAATCTATCAACTATCAACTAGCATGGAATGTTTCTGGGGACATTCGCAGATGTGCTGTTTAATGTGCGCCTTCTATTTATCAAGTCGGTGTGTGCTGTTTACCTGCATTTATGTGCAGTCTATGGTTTGTGCACTGTGCAGTCACATTTACACACACGATTATGTGTGTCTGTGTGTGCTCTAGGTTTACACATATTTCCTGTCTCTTGTTAGATATCGCATCAACCCCTATTAGATAACCCACAGCCACACTGCCACGGAGCAGGGACAAGAAGAGAAGTTGCTGGAAGCTCAGCAGGTAGGACAGCATCTGTGAAGAATAAATCAGAGTTAACTTTTCGTGACCGGTGACCCTTCCTCAGAACAGGGAGCAGGGAACCCTCTTCATAAAGGGCATTTAGCTTGATGACTGAAATGACAGCTCGATAGACTTACAGCCTTCTAAGAGATGCGGTGGCTCGCTTTACATCAAGTTGGTGCGTGTTCGTGTGCAAGGTTGATGTTTCTTCTTATCATTACTGTCAGGTCAGAAGAAATCTCACCACCCAGAAAGGTTGACTTTTTTCCCCTCTCTGTAAAGATACTACCAGGCCTGCTGAGGAATGCCAGTATACTGCCGGTGCTATTTCAGAATTTCAGCCTTTTGTTGTCACGAGGTGTGTGTGTTTTGTCTGTGTCTAACTGCTTGGCCTATGGGGATTCAGTTACATCTTGCCTGTAGTGCCTCTTAAAGATTGATGAGATTCCTCAACAAATAATAATAGCTATATCTTTAGGAAGACTACGCCATGTGATACCCTCAGTCTGAATCTTAAATGGATTGGGATTCAAGATTTTATTTTGCAACAAAAATAATGATCATCGAATGCAGTCTTTTTCGTCTGTCTTGCTCTATCCGAGTTTAAAATAGACACATCCTTGACTTATATTAAAAAAAATCAAGCCGAGAAAATTTGATGAAGGGTAGGCGCCTGTGCCGGGTCCAGGGAACATTTGAAGTCTGCCCATAGACAAGATTTGTGACGGATGAAAATGTCAGCGATTTTCCTATTATTGCTGCTTCCCTGCAGTGAGCCCAGCACTTATTACAAACTGAAAGGCGAGTAATTAATTTTGGAGACAGTTTATTCATAATGCCATATGGATTATTGCTCCAAAATAACCTCTGGGTCTTTCCATTATAGGCGTCTAGATTAGCTGTATTTTGTGTCCAATAATTTGAAACACTTCTCTGAAACACTTCTCTGACTAATAAGATTTTAGAATCGATCTGGATGTGAGCAGACTTTTAACAATTGACAGCTACTTTGCATGACACTTACAGCAATGTGGATCTTTCCTCTGTTACAGGGACAGAGGTGCTGTGTTCTGTACTTGGGAGTGAATTCTTGGCTCCAGGCCGCACTGCATCGCCAGAATTTTCTATGATCTACGGCCAAGTCTCTGTGCAAACGTAGGGCCTCCATTTACATCATTGTGCATCACCAGCATTCAGTATGCTTCCGTTTAAAACAAAATACAAACAAAGCCGGAAATACAGAATTGAGCCTATATATCATTACATACCTTTGAAGAATTACAAGATAACCACCTAATCTCACGATATGACTGAGGTTATAAACTGCAATTTCACAATGTTGATTTCTGCATTTTGTAAAATCTGATTCCCCCACACCCTCATCAGATGAACATTCACCATCCCTGCACCCTCACCAGGACCAATCCATCCTTCCTGAGGTGCAGTGTCCAGAATTGAATGCAGTTTTTTTTAATTCATTCAGGAAATGTGGGTTTCATTGGCTGAGCATACATTTATAGTCTATCCTTTGATGCTCTTGAAAAAGGTGATGATGAGCTGCCTTCTTGAACTGCTAGTCATTGGTATAGATAGAGCTGCAGTGCTGTTGGAGAGGGAGTTCCAGGTTTTTAACCAAGGGACAGTGAAAGAACAATGATATATTTCTAAGTTAGGATGAGAGTGGCTTAGAGGAGAACTTGCAGGTGGTAGTGTTCCCATGTACTTGTGCCCTTACCCATTTAGATGGTAGCGGTCTTGGAACTCAGCAGGTCTGGCAGCATCTGTGGAAAGAGAAACAGTTAACGTTTCAAGTCTGGTATGACTCCTCTTCAGAACTGTCACAGTCGTGGGTTTGGAAGGTGCTATCAAAGCAGCCTTGATGAGTTTCTGCAGTGCATCCTATAGATGGTATTCATTGCTGCTATTATGCGTGGATGATGGAGGGAATGAAAGTTTGAGAATGTGGTGCCAGCCAAGGTGCTTTGTCCTGGATGGTATCAAGCCTCTTGTGTTTTGTTAGAGCTGCATTCATTTAGGTAGCTGAAACTATTCCAACAAACTCCTGACTTGTATCATGAAGGTGGTGAACAGGCTTTCGGAAATCAGGAGTGAATTAGTCACTGCATGATTCCAAGCTCATGACTAGTCCTTGTCAGACTTGCTGAATTTCTCAAGAAATTTATGTTTTTATTTCAGATCTCCAGCATCCATGCTACTTTGCTTTTATGTGTATTTTAATGGTCTAACAAATGCCATTTTAGAATTAGAGATAACAAGGTGTAGAGCTGGATGAACACAGCAGGCCACGCAGCATCATAGGAGCAGGAAGGCTGACATTTCGGGCCCGAAATGTCAGCCTTCTTGCTCCTATGATGCTGCTTGGCCTGCTGTGTTCATCCAGCTCTACACCTTGTTATCTCAGATTCTCCAGCATCTGCAGTTCCTACTATCTCTGATACCATTTTAGAATTACACTGTTCCATTTATATTGTGCCACAGTTAGCAATCCAAGAGCACTGATAATTCAATTATGAGTAGCAACCAGCAAAAGTAACACCTCAATTATCCTGTGATGGAAGAATTATTAACAAATAACTATCAGTTAATAAAGTTTGTATTGTTATTAAGTTTTTATTAATAAGTCTTACAAATTCTTTTTTAAAATATACTGTGCAAATCTACCAGACTCTGAGAATGAAAGAGAAAATTTGCTTCCCATTATTTCTTGTCAGCCAAGCT